CCTTCAAAGTGAGGGAAGGTCCGTCAACAGGATCCATGGGGCTTTGCCTCCGTCATGGCCTCATTTGACTGGGGCCTTGCTCCCAGCCAGCGTTTTTCCTGTTTTCAGGTCCCTCTTACCTTACTTTTACTAGTGATTGCGGCTCCCGACAAGTCTGGGCCACTGAGTGAGACTCCAACTCAAAAAAAAAAAAAAAAAAAATCCCACTTGTCTATCTTATCTCTTATGACTTGGGTACTTGGGGTTTTGATCAGGAATTGGTTGCCAGTTCCAATTTCCATAAGGATGTCTCTTGCGTTTTCTAAGATTCTTATAGTTTGAGGTTTTATGTTTAGGTCTTTGATTCACTTAGAGTTGATTTTTGTGTATAGTGATAGGTAGGGGTCCTGTTTCAATCTTCTGAATGTGGTCAGCCAGTTTTCCAAGCACCACTTACTGAATAGGTTTTCCTCATCCCACTGGTTGTTAACGGAGGCTTTGTCGAAGATGAATTGGTTGAGAAATTGAGGTTTGGTTTCCAGAATCTCTATCCTGTTCTATCGGTCCATATGCCTATTCTTGTATCAATACCAGGCTGTGTTGATTATTGTAGCCTGATACCTCCCACTTTGATTCTTTTGCTAAGGATTGTTTTGGCTATTCGTGGTCATTTGTGTGTCATATGAACTCCTGTATTGTCATTTCCAGGTCTGAAAAGAATGATGTTGGCAATTTAATGGGTATTGGGTTGAATCTGTAGATTGCCTTAGGTAGAATGGACATCTTAACGATGTTGATTCTTTCCATCCATGAGCATGGAATATTTTTCCATTTGTTTGTGTCTTCTTGGATTTCTCTGAGTGGTGTTTTGTAGTTTTCATTGTAAAGGTCTTTCACTTCTCTGGTTAGGAAGATGCCGAAGTATTTCTGTGTGTGTGTGTGTGTGTGTGTGTGTGTGTGTGTGTGTGTGTCTATTGTGAATGGGATTGTGCTTTTTATTTGGTTTTCTGCCTCCTTGTTGTTGGTATATAAGAATGCAACTGTCTTTTGCACATTTATTTTGTACCCCAAGACTTTGGCAAAGTCCTTTATCAGTGAAAGCAAATTTTTGACAGATTCTCTTGGGTTTTCAAGGTATAGGATCATATCATCAGCAAAGAGAGATAACTTAACTTCCTCTTTTCCTATTTGGAACCCCTGATTTCCGTCTCTTGTCTAATTGCTTTAGCTAGGACTTTCAACACTATGTTGAACAAGAGGGGTAGGAGTGGCCAGCCTTATCTTGTTCCAGTTTTCAGGATAAATGTTTCCAGTTTCTGTCCATTTAGCAATATGCTGGCTGTGGGTTTTTTGTAGACAGTGCTTACTGTTTTGAGGTATGTTCTTTCTATGCCTAGGTATTTGAGGGTTTTTATCAAGAAGTGATGCTGGATTTCATCAAAAGTTTACAATTAAAGAAATTTTAGAGTAAGTCATTGCTAAAGTTCCTCCTAACTCTAAATTATAATATATAAGACAAAAGAGATAAAGTTTTCTGGGGGAAAAATATAAAACTTAGAAAAGTAATCACCTAAATGTTTATCAAGAAGATGACCAAGAATTGAGTTTAACTCCATTCAACAAAATACTTTACCATGCAGAAGGTACTATCCTTTACATTATATAAGATGCAGAGTAAGATGATGTTCCTAATTTTAAAGACCTTATAATCTAGGAAGTGGAAAACACAAATCTATAAATAATTATAATTACAGATACAAATGCTACTTAAAAATTACAAACAAAATCTTTTCTTAAATGTGTAGAATTTTAAGCCTGGACATATAAAATATTCTTTTACTCAGTGACCTATCACAGAAACAAAGAACAGAGTACCATATATTCTCACTCATAAGTGGACAATTATCATACTATTACAAGAAAGGGATTTGGCAGTAGTGGGAAACTGCCAGGGGAGGGGGGCACACATCATCAACAAGGGTACCTGCATAATGAATATGTGTATACCTGACCCTGAATGGTACCCCACATCTTTAAAATTAAAAGTTAAAAAAAATTCTTGATGAGATCCTTACTAAAATATTGGATCTTAAAAAAAATCAAATATTTTTGGAATCTAAGTGATAAAATATAAAATTTTCTGTACTATCTCAAGTTGGCTAATGGGGCTACTTTCACTCTATTTACAGGTGCTGTGGAGAGGGTGAAGAAAATTCGAGACTATGCTTTTGTGCACTTCAGTAACCGAGAAGATGCAGTTGAAGCTATGAAAGCTTTAAATGGGAAGGTAATATAGGACAAAGAAAAAATATGTACAGATTACATCCCATTTTGGTGTGGACACTCTATTCAAAAGAGCAATTCTGCAAGTCTATCTCATTCCAGCTTTCTTCTTCTCTGATATACATGCCTTAGTCCATTTACGATGCACAAAAGAGAAGTGATAGAAAATGGAGAATGAAGATGTGCCTAATATGTCCAACTGTACCTCTCAATTTTTCTTATTTGAACAAATTACTAGTCATCCATTTCCTTAGAAAGAAGAGACTGGAGTAGATTGTTTCAATTTACCCAATTCTAATTTTCTCTCATTACTGCAAAGAAATTATCACCATTGTGGTACAGTATTTTAGAGAATGATGATCAGAAGAGATGTTAACAAGGCTGTTATTATGCCTTCAGAATTTGATCTACCTGGAATGCTTAGAATCTCTCACCTTGCCAAGTGTAGAGTCTGGGGGAAAAACTAGCTTCTATGTCCTTACTACTGATTTGTCTGCAGAAGCCAATATAATATTTACATATCAAGCCAATAGACATTAAAAAACCTTCCACAGACCACTTATCATGCCAATAATGTCTGGGATACAGAAAGAATCAAACCAAAGATGCATGTCAAAGAGCTAAAAGTCTGTCGGAGAAATAAGACAAGTATACCAACACCAATGCAAAATACAGGCTGGTAAGTATCATAAAAAGACATAAAAGTGATAAGAAAGATCAGTGGAAGAAATAGATTATAAGGAATCAGATAATCTTAACTGATATGAAAAGATAATCTGTATGAGAAGCCATAAAAATTTGATATAATTTCAAAAGACAAAACATGGAAAGGAGAGGCAGTCTTAGGGACACAGAATTTGGAAAAAACAATATAACATTGGGGGTTGGTCACAGTGACTCAGGCCTGTAATCCCAGCACTTTGGGAGATCAAAGCAGGATAACTGCCTGAGCCAAGGATTTTAGACCAGCCTGAGCAACATAGCAAGACCCTATCTCTACAAAAACTCAAAAAATTAGCTGGGCATGATGGCACACCTGTAGTCCCAACTACTCAGGAGACTGATGCAGAAGGATTGCCTGAGCCCAGGAGGTCGAGGATGTGGTGAGCTATGATCATGCCGCTGTACTTCAACCGGCCATCAGATTGAGACCCCCAACTCAAAAATAATAACAAGAAGACAAAATTGGGGGGTGGTAAAGTGCAGAGAAATTTGGTTGGAACATATGCACATGGGCTGTTTTGTCTGTTGGGTCTTGCATCAGTCAGATTCTCAATAGAAAACAGATGGCAAAGGAATTAATTACAAATGCATGAGCTAGGAGTAGAGAAATCAAAAGAGAGTGCAGGAACCTGGGGATCACAGCATTTCTGGAGTCAAAGGGACAAAGGGCTGGAAAATTGATAGAAATCCTGAAAGGAAAGAGGGTTGTGTAGAACAGGACTCTCTTAGAGAAGAAGTGATCTTATTAAGGGACACAGCCAACCCAAGGTAACCTCTCAAAGAGGGAGCCAGAAGACTAAATGCCTCAAACTCACTGCTGTCTCTTTTTCCAGTCTCCTACCAGTGTTCCCTATTGACAAAATCCAATCATAATCCAGAAGATTTAAGAACCCTACAGAGGACGCCATGTGCAATGGCTTCCCAGAGCATAGAGCAGGCCAAAGTCAGTGGGGAGTAGAAATGGAGGGCAAAGGGAGAATCTCTCACCCTGGGTTCTTCAGACACATGGGGCCTCTGGCATATGAGCTCCTCGGGGACCTATTCAAACTTAAAAATGTTTAAATAGGAAGGAAAAAACTACTGAGTCTGAACTACTAAAAGAAAACTGCAAAACAAAAACTAGTACATATTTAAATTCATTTCTATGAAGTAAACATTATTTCATCTCCATTGATTATTACATTTAGTATCATAAAAAATGTTATTACTTTAAAAACTATTTGGTAAGTTAGATTTTCTCTATTTAAAACATTTCTGAGTATACATTATAATTGCAGACAAGAAACGACCAATCATAAATTAAATGCTAAATAATTACAGTGGGATAATTATAATGGAAACTATTCCAATTATTCCCAACTTTTACAGTTAGATATTTTTATAGCAATGCTTATATATATAGCTAAATATATATTTAATGTTATATTTTACTCTAATACAGTATGAAAAAAATTAAAAGTAAAATTTCCTAGGACCAATGAAGACTTTTTAATATATATAGATATTTATATCTAATTTATTGAACAAGGTGAGACTTAGAAGTTTTTTTGTGCGTAGAGTAATGATCCCATTTACAATTTAGGGAAATTAAACTAGTAAGAATTCACTTTTTATAGAGGCGAGAGAAAGATGTAATGGAAACTGGTTATAAAGCTATTACAGTCACCAAAATGGTACAAAATGAGGGCTTGAATTAAGGTGGGAATGGAATGTAGGAGAGAGCTCCACATAGAACTATGGGGGAAGAATTCAAAGTACCCAGAAAGTGAATGGAGATAGGAGTGAAACAGAACAAGTCATCAGAAGTTTTCAGTATGGTAGACAATTAGGGGAAGACAAGAGGGGTAGACAGGAGGGGAAGCCTAGTTGTAGAGAAATGTGACAAACAGCTTTGGACATGACTATTCATTTATTCTGCAAATATTATTGAAATTATGTGAAGTGAAATATATTTTGTTAGACTTGGGTTAATAAGATATTGTGCTAGCTCTTTAAATATCTAAACCAAATAACTAAAATACAATATTGATTTTAAAATGCTCTTGGATGGAGCAGAGGAATGCAGAACAAAATCTTTTACAATAAGAAATCTGACTCTGCAATAAAGGATCATTCTATTCAAGACATCTCTTGATATACAAGTACCTATCAGCAGAGGCCTATTTGGGTTTCTCATCTTCCTCAAAGCAGGACTGAAGACAAAGAATCTTATATCCAAGACCACCTATATTTTCAATATTCCAAGTCTATTTTTTCTAATTACACCAATACCAATTTAAGATTGTTGACTATCAGCCGGATTCAGTCTATATCCCAGTGTGTTCTATTTTACTCATTTGACACTGGCTCCTGCTACTATAAAGCAAGGTAAATACAAGACACTAGGGACAAATTGCCCCAGAGGCTGACCAAAATGGTTAAGATGACCATGAAGCACAAGCTTTGTCTAGCAGACTTCAATAATCCAGGAACCAATGAGGTCCTGATTAAATTGGAGGGTAAGAGTGCTCACTCAACTGCTGTGAACAGGAATGTTTGCAGAAACACTTTGTATTATCTTCTTTCTTTATAACAGAGGCTCATCATATTCTTATATAAAAAAACCACAAATGCGTTCTCACACAAATGCTTTCTGACATTTTGTTCCTTTGATAAGAAATATATCAAACTATCAAGAATTTGTTGAGAGCCATCCTTTCTTTCTTGTGTAGGCAAGCAATACTGAGAAATTAGCTACACGTGTAGATCTACACTCAGCCGTGATCGTGAACATCTGGGAGCTGTTCATGATCTCAAAAATTTGTGTCAGAGAAGATCTACTCTAATAATTCTTGAAGACAAGTTTTAAGTGGTGTATGATTTTGAGAAACCTCAACATTTCTCCCCTCCCCTTCCCTACTCCCCATTCCCCACCATCCCTGTTTATCAGTTCCCAACTGTTTAACTGATCAAAGGGTTACTTCACAAGGAACTATCCGTAGGAAACAATGTGATAGGCTCACAGATTTCTTATCCTTGGGTAGGGCTGTGCTTATACCTGTCTTCTTCTCTGGTGAAAACTTACTTTTGTAACTGATCTAAAGAGTAAACATTTCATTGGTTGTCAGCTGAAAAGACCTGATTGAGTTGCCCATGCCAAAGTGCTAGTAATTGATAAGATCTCTTTGTTGGTTTCCTTTCACCTTCATCTTACTGTGCTATGTAGTGGAGATTAAATTCCATCCATAATGAACCTAAAACTTCTGTAATCATATAATTCTTTGCCATGTACTTTAAAACCTATATATTACATAACTTAAAAATTCCAGAACTTTCTGCCTCAGTGATATATCCAGATTATAAATGTATAGCCAATATGCCAGTGGCCAGTATGTCACTGTCAAACCTGTTGGCATCTTGTACAACAACTTATCAACAAAACCAAAAAGAAAATTCAACTGACATACAAACACAAACCTATAGAGGGACAAGATACAAATTGAAAAAGTCAGCAAATATACAGCAATTAGTCTGACACCTAGAAAGAAACAGGTTATTAGAACTCAGTCATACTCAGTTGTCTCCCTATTATCTCATGCTGCTTTTTTCTTGCTCTCTTCAACAGGTGCTGGATGGTTCCCCCATTGAAGTGACTCTAGCCAAACCAGTGGACAAAGATAGTTATGTTAGGTACACCCGAGGCACAGGTGGAAGGGGCACCATGCTGCAAGGAGACTACACCTACTCTTTGGGCCATGTTTATGATCCCACCACAACCTACCTTGGAGCGCCTGTCTTCTATGCCCCCCAGGCCTATGCAGCAATTCCCAGTCTTCATTTCCCAGCCACGAAAGGACACCTCAGCAATAGGGCCGTCATCCGAGCCCCCTCTGTTAGAGGTAACACCAGTCAGCTCTTGCCTTAGATGAACCCTAAGATTTCAAATGACTTGAACTGCAATAGCCTTAGGCAAATTGGATGGGACTGCTGAGAGAAAAGCACAGAAAAATGGTTTATTAAAAATCAAGATACTATATCAACAGTTTTCCTTTCATAGGAATCTTTTTCACATGACAACTGGTTATTGAAAAAAATTTGGTCAACTCATAGTGCACATGGGTTTAGTGCACAAATTAGATCCTTACATGAGCCCATAAAATTTGCACAAACTAGAACCCTCTTCCACAATTGTTAGCTTCTTTCATATCAGTAGACTACCATCTTGCAGTCGTCTATGACTCATTACAACACTTCCAGGAGAGAGCAGTATGATTCAATGGAAACCAATTACTTCAAATGCAAAAACAATTCAAGGCACATGTGTACTTGATGGTAACTCAGTAGCATCATCCTTACATATAAATCACAATTTATTATAAAAATTGTCTAAGAGACATGAGACATTCTTATCTGACTTCCCCCAAGAAATATATGTTAAACCTATTGAAAAACCAAACGAGTAAAAAGATCAATTTATTTATTTAGTACATGGGGAACAAGATAAATCTCAAATAGCAAAAATTCAATTTTACTGCCAGATAATAAATGTTTAATGTTTGAATCCTGCAAGAATTTTAAATGTTCAAGACGTTTTCCAAGGTCAGTTATTTAAAGCAATCTAGAAAATAAGGAAAGCATTTTTTATTTCTAAGAAACTAGTTTGTCTCTGCCTTTTGGGCTCCTTCAGACTGGTTTTTCTAGGATGTGCCTAATGCCAGTAGAATCCCAATTCTAGCTTTCAAATATGACACCAAAGCAATTTAACAAGCAAGCTCTGTATGTAAATCTATTGCTGGGTTTGACTTAGAAGCAAAAGGGCACATCCAAATTGCTGTAAAAATAGTTATCTTACTATGTTTTACACGATTAATTGACCATTCTAGGAGGTCTAGTCTTCAACAGCCTTAAAATTCTGTACTCATAATATAATAATACCCCCAAAAATTGTAATGCAAAAGAAATCATTAAGATTTCCTTTAAGATAACATGTCCATATGATGATATATTATGTCTTTGAAACAGTATGCATTTGTAATGTAAAAATCACATCATTAACCAACCTGCACATTAAATACAAGTTGTCAACCAGTTGTGATGTAGAAAAAAAAAAAAACTCCACTCTAAGAGGAAAAAATGCCTGTCGTATAACAAGAAAGGAATCAATGAATCATATTCATGGATGAAAGATAATCAATTTAATTTCTCATCTTTTTATGCCACAATAGGAAATCAAAGTAGCAACATGGCAAAACAAAAATTAAAAGGAATCTATGCATGAAACTCAATGGAAATTTAAGCCTCACATTGACAGAACATGAAAGAGGATGGTGAATTCTAAAGCATGTTTTCTAAATGTTCGTTTTCCAATAAGTCATTGTGAATTGGAAAACTGATGAAGCTAGAATTCATTTCTGAGTTACTGATCAGTGACAGTCTCTATGCAAGACTGATTTCAATACCAATGGTTATATTACATTGGAATGTTTCATAAACACATTCCCAGCCTTTATTAGTCTACAGAAAATGTAAACAAAAGGTTAACTGAAGACAGAAATTGCAAAATTTCTCTCTGTGCCAAAATTTTTAATTGCTAACATACTTATCAACAAATAGCTGTGATGGTATGTCTTACTTCCCCACATGACTCTTGAAAGAGAGAGAAAGAGAGGGAGAGAGACCAATGTTGAACTTTTTGTTGAGTTTCATTACATGAGAATCCTAGAGTATCTTACTATCTTCAGGGCAATAATCAATGTGACTTGGGCTAACTTTTCCATTACAGTAAGATTCAGGGTGATTTTCTGGTGGTTTGATTCAGTTTAACGCCTTCTTACATTCCTAGAAATTTACATGAATGTACCTGTAGGGGCTGCGGGAGTGAGAGGACTGGGCGGACGTGGCTATCTGGCATACACAGGCCTGGGTCGTGGATACCAGGTGAAAGGAGATAAGAGAGAAGACAAACTCTATGACATTTTACCTGGGATGGATCTCGTCCCAATGAATCCAGTCACTTTAAAACCCCAAGGAATCAAACTTGCCCCCCAGGTAGGTAATGTTATTCCAGGGATAATTTCTTTAAGTTGGGCCAGTGATCCCCATTTACCTTTCATCAAACAATTTGACTTGATGCCTACTTAAGCTATTGGGCTTTTTTCTTGTAATAGATAAAGTGTTCAGTCAAGACAGTGTACTTTGAAGGAATGCTCAGCATTATAGGCGCTTTCATTTTTTTAATCATAAAGCTTAAAACCTTAAATAATCTTCCACTGAATGCAAAGAACCCAAGCGCTATTAAGAATTATCAACCAATACCTTAAATGAAAATAAAAAGAGGCGAAGACCTCGCCTCAGAATAAATGCCCATCACATGTGAACCAGCTTGATTGCCAAATGAAGAGTATTTACAACAGGGAACCCAGAATAGACCATTTAGGACATCTTTTCTTGGAAACACAATGTCTAAGAGAAAACTCCATCATGATATCTAGGTAAATCTTTAGGAGGTGTCATCAGTCATATCAAAGTAAGTCTTCTGCAACGGTCATATTTGGGCAGTGGCATTATGGCGAATCTTTATTGCTTGCATTTGACAATTCTAAGTTTCCATGTTTCTGCATGAGTCTGTGATTTTTATTATTGGAAAATTAAAAGTTATAAAAGTTGTTCCAGTATGGAAACTGAATGCTAGGGTTAAAAATAAAAGAGGATCTATGTTAACCCTTAAACTATTCCCTGTGGGAGTGCTGATCTCTCTAAAATACACTTTGGCTGAATAATCAGGGTTATAGTGTGTGTATCCTGATGGAAAAGTCACTACTCCCATTCCAAAGGTATAAGCCCCAGATTTATGAAAATAACCCTTAGGAGTCCAATGAAGAAGAAAACTTGGTTTTCTAAAAGCTCATCGTGGGTATTGTTTTTAATTTTTTTGGTGGTATTAATGGCTTTCTCTTACCAAAAAAAATTCTTAATCTAAGGTTTTTGCTAACCTTATCCAGGCAATTTTTTTAAAAAAAGCATGCCTATCAAAGTGCAATCATGTGTTTGTTAAAAAAAAAAAAAAATCATTTGGTTTCCCTTATACATCGTGTATTGTCTTAAGTACTAGAGATGTAAAAGTGAATATAACAAAATCTTTATCATAAAAAATTGCAAGGCAGTCCAGTGAGGGAATACTGACACATAAACAGATATTTATAATAAAATCTGGTAAGGGATGTGATAAAGCTTGCTCAGGAAATACAAAAAAAAAAACTAATCTCCCTTGGGTTAAAACCCAAAATAAAGAATCTAGTTAAAGTACTCAAATATCTATAAATCTTTTTTTTAAACTGAAAAAATAACAATCATCACAAATTCTGTTTAACAGTTCTAAGTGCTGCTGTAGTCTGACATCTCTTCTTTTTACATGAAACTCAGGTCAGACATGAATATGTGAGTAACGATATCTATCAACTAATGAAAGCTCTTTAATTTTTCTCTGAATTTCTACAACCATGGCTAAAAATTAAAGACCATGCCATTCCCAAACCAGCATAGATGGAGCCTTAACAAACTCAAAGTAGTGTTATAAACTTCTAGCCAGAAATGCAGAACAAAGAGTATGATCTTGCAAAGTCAGCAGTGAGAAGTGGTGCCCCCTTAGCCTGTGTTTGCTCACCTGGCATGAACAGGCACAATATCTGCCAGCAAAAGCTTATAAATTACTGCCCAGAACTGTAGGAAATGCTTTGTAGATGACAAGAGATGCTATGAAATGAGAGTATTCAAAAGAAAAGGTTGGCCAGGTACCATATCTCATGCTTATAATCCTGGCACCTTGGGAGGCTAAAGCAGAAGGATTGCTTGAGCCCAAAAGTTCAAGACCAGCCTGAGCAACATGGAGGGATCCTGATCTACAAAAAACCAAAAAATTAGCTGGGCATGGTGGCACATGTCTGTAGTCCTAGCTACTTGGGAGGCTGAGGTGTGAGGATCACCTGAGCCCAGGAGGTAGAGGATGAGGTAAACTGTGATCATGCCACTGCACTCCAGCCTGAGCAACAGAGTAAGACCCTGACACACACACACATATACACATACACGCGCGCGCGCACACACACATACACGGACATGAAAGAAAAGAGAGAGAGAGAAAGTTAACAAAGAAATTAGGAGCAATTAACAAATTAATAAACTGGAAAATGTCATGCTACTGCAACTGGGTTAGTGTTAGAACAAATGAGATAAGAAACTCCAGAGATGTAGTACTGGGGCATTGTTCTGTCTCACAATGATTTTCTCAGCCGTGTGCCCTGTTGTGCACAGTATACTGAATCTGCTGACTTAAAAGAACATCAGTATCTCTGGGCCACCAAAAATGGCTTCAGGAAGAAGAAAATATGAGTCTTTAGAAAAGATTCAGCCTGGAGTAATTACAAAAGGAAAAAAAAAATGCAAGAGGATGCTAAAAAGCAGATTGTTACAAAAATAGCCAGAAGTGGTGTCTTACCAGACAAATTTAAAACAAACAAACAAAGAAAAAACTATGGCTCAAGCCTGTAATCCCAGCACTTTGGGAGACTGAGACGAGAGTATTGCCTGAGTCCAGGGGCTCGAGACCTAGCCTGGGCAACATGGAGAGACCTCATCTCTACAATAAATCAAAAAAATTAACCAGGCATGGTGGCGCACGCCTGTAATTCCAGCTACTTGGAAGGCTGAGGTAGAAGGATTGCCTGAGCCCAGCAGGTCGAGGCTGCAGTGGCCATGAGCGTGCCACTGCACTCCAGCCTAGGTGACAGAGTAAGACTCCAATTCAAAAGAAAAAACTGTCAACCCCCATCTATGCATGCTTATCAATAAATACTAACTCATTAAACTTTTAACTCTGTTTTTATTGAAAATACGAGATTAAAATCCTATGGCAAATGACATGAAGTAAGAATATATTCTTGTATTTTCTTCTCTAATTCATTATAAACAAAGAGATTGAGGTAATAATAAGTAAATATATCCACAGTGTTGGAGTGTCCATTTTAAAAATATAGGATAAATATACTAAACAAATCATAAAATTAAGCTCTTGGTAAAAAGTTATAGCTAATGGACTAAATTAAAAACATTAGAGTAAATGATGTGAAAATGATTTTTATGAACTAAAAGACATAGCATTTTAAATGGAGTTCAAATTGAGTTCATTCTAAATTTTATGAGTCATTAAACCATGAGGCATTTTATATCTTCTCATATTTGCTTAAACTCTGAAGAGTAGAGTTTAAAAACCTGAACACTAGGGAAATAATGCAAATGTGACATTTGAAGGGGAAATCACTTTTTTTTAACTCTTGTAGATATTAGAAGAGATTTGTCAGAAAAATAACTGGGGACAGCCAGTGTACCAGCTGCACTCTGCCATTGGACAAGACCAAAGACAACTATTCTTATACAAAATAACCATTCCTGCTCTGGCCAGCCAGAATCCTGCAATGTGCGTAACTTCTCCAAATTCCTAATCATTTTGATTTTAGGGTAGGATACGTTTGTAAATTAAGTATATTTAGTCACTATCTCAACAAGATAAGCACTCAAGTCTACTCCCTGTTCATTTGTCATTAAATGCAAATACGAGATATATAGTTAGGATGTGCCAGCTCTGAGACTGGCATCTAAAAGCCCCAAAATTTCAGATAAACAATGAAGACTGTGTAGTATCATCAACCAGTGGAAAAGTTGGGAGATGAAAACTATAGCCCATTCTTTTCATGTAGTGCTTAGGTTGCACCATATAAAATTGTCATTTTTAGATATAATAGCACCATGCCCCATCATTTAAATTTTGGACCAAAGATATGACTTCTCTGTTAGTGAATATCACCTCCTGAATTTTATCTCAAAACTATATTTCTATATATTTTAGGAACTACCGTTTTTCATGTGTGCCTTAGCAAACCCATGTAACAAGTTACAACAACTGACCTATGTGTTAGGTCAGTTCACAAATATCCCTACATGTATTCTATATTCAGAAGTTTTAAGCGCAAGGAGAATGAAAAATGCCCACCCAAAATCCCATCATCCAGTGCCTTAGATTTTCTTTTTTTTAAATTTTTCCTTTGGATGGATAAAGATCTACAGTTTATTATTTTATTTTATTTTTAAACATGTAGGGTACTAGTCAGGGTTAGATACATATGTGGTCATCACCTGACTCAGTAGCACCAGTTTTAAAATGCCCACCCTGTGCTTTCCAGCCACCCTTTCACGCCTCCAAAGCTGAGTGCCTATGTGGATGAAGCAAAGACATACGCCGCCGAGTACACCCTGCAGACCCTAGGCATCCCCACTGATGGAGGGGATGCCGCCACCGCTGCTGCCGCCGCTGCTGCTTTTCCAGGTAAGAAAAAATTGTGCCAAAACTGGCACCCTGCAGAAAGTGTTTGGGAAACACTTTTGGTACCATGGACTCATAGAAATGTTTGTAAACCCCACCTACAATAAATTTGACTTGCACCATCTGAGGACCAAAAAGTGGTTGCCAATTAAGTAATCTATTAAAGCATGAAGCCAGAAAATCGACCTGGGCAGCAGCTTGAAGCCACTACATGATCTTGAATGAGTTCACCTGAGTCTGGTTTGCTTTGGTTTTTACTTTTAATGAAAGAGTTTGCGACTATCTATCGATGATGTTTATTTGAGCTCTTGCTGTGTGCTAGGCACTCACCTAAATGCTCAGCAAGCTTTGTTATCTCAGTAATGCTAATGACACCGCTAAGAGTTAGACTCTATCAGAATGCCCATTATACAGAGTGCTAGAAAGATTAAGTAATTTGGGCAACATCAATTAGCTTTTAAGTCATCTTTGAGCTCCCTCCCAATTCCGGTCTTCAATCTGCATAAACTAACTTGATTTTTCAAAGAGATGTGCAGATCACATTTGCCCTAAATTATTTCAAGTCAAAAATTTTGAGTGAGAAAGACAGAGATCATTTTATTATGTGACTAATTAGGGCTCTATTTACCTGCTCTGCAATTTTGGTCTGGGGTATATATGCTGATTGCTTAAAATAAACCCATCTGTGTATCAACAGTGTTTTCAGGGGTCATATTTAAAAGATTTTTCCTCATTTATTTTTTACCATTAGCAAATGCTAATAATTTAAAAATGAATCCTTTAGAAATTAACATTCTTTTTTTTTTTTTGAGTCAGAGTCTTAGTCTCACTCAGGCTGAAGTGCAGTGGCATGATCACGGTTCACTGCAGCCTCCATTTCCTGGGCTCAGGAGATCCTTCCGCCTCAGCCTCCTGAGTAGCTGGGACTACAGGCACACACCATCACACCTGACTAAGGTTTTTTTATTTATTTTTTTGTGGAGACAAGGTCTTGCTGTGTTGCCTAGGCTGGTCTCAAACTCCTGGGCTCAAGCAGTGGTTTTGGCCTCAGCCTCTCAAAGTGCTGAGATTATAGACTTGAGCCACTGCACTCAGCCAGAATCCTTTCAAAATTAAAGGGGACTAGGAAAGAAACTTCTTTAGAAAATTTATTCTCAACAGTTAGTTTGAATAACGAACTCTACTCTTTTTTTAGTAATAAAAGCTTATTTCTATTGAAGAAATTTGTCCTTCTGACTTCTCACTGTGTCAGCGTGTGCCTCTTAATCCCAAATTAGAGAGTTCTAACTATACGTAGAAGCATTCCTATCACCTGATGAGTTCATTTATTGGTCATGAGTAGGTGTGAGAATATCTATATTCTTCACAGCCACAAAACCTAGGGCTTGCTCTCTTTTTTTTCCTCCCTCAAAAATTGTAACTATATCCTCCATTCTGGCAAAGTGAGGCTAAAACTAATCATGCTTTGCACATGAATGTGACCCCAATTCTAGCTTTGTTTCTCTGACGGAACTTGGAGACTTGTGCAGTGCATCCCAGGAGGTTGCCAAGGCAACAGCTGACACTGCAGAGATCTAGGTCCTCCCCGGGCAGTTGGGGCCAGCACCCCTGTGCTTGCTTTTTGCATAACAGGGTGTTTGTATGTCCATTTCCTTGGATCTTATGCCAGAGCTTCTCAGTTCTTAGAGAAAGTCTACCCTTTCTCTGGCAGAAAGCTGCCCCCAAAGACACCTAACTAATGTCCTATAAAATAATGAGCCTCATAATCAATGTTTGTATACCTAACCCTGAATTGTGCCCCACATCTTTACAATAAAAAAAAGAAAAGAAAAGAATGAGCCTCTCTCAGGAGAATTTTAAAGTTTGCTTTCAAACTGGAAAGGATTTGCTTTTACTCGAGAATGTTTTATCTTATTCGTATTTCTACTTGCTCCTGTGAGAAGTTAAAAATATTTAGGGCATAAGAGTCATCTTGGGAATGTCTAAGAATTTGAGAGCCTCTCTTATAACTTTGCTGTGGAGTCAAGCAAAGAACAATAGTCTCCAAGGGAAGAATGTGTTTGAAACACAAATATCCTTGCACTTAACAAATTGGCCAAATTGAAAAAGGAAAATTCAAAAATCCCTAAAGGTGAAATCTATACTACAAACACACGCACACATGCACATTCACACTCACCCAGTTATATTGCTTTCTTACTTTAGAAGTACTGTTTCCAAAATTATGAAAGTAATCGTTAACACATTTCTCATATCCTTGGAAAATGTACCAAACTTCACTAGTGCATTAGTCAGCATTACTGACCAACGTGAATGAGCCAAGAAGTGGATTCAATTTTTTTAAAAAAATAATCCAACTAGCTTCCTGCCACCACTTCCTGAGAAGCCACCAGAAAAAAATCAGTGTGTCTGGGGTTGAGCAGACTTCTGCTGCACAGAAACCAAATGGACTTTAAAAAAAAAAATCAGGCCCCCATTCACTGCTTAAGTGTGTATCTCCCTTTTTCTTGTTATCTTTTACAATTTTGGGATCATCTCAGAAATACTACAGTTTAGTCTAAAATATTAACAAAGAAATATTGCTTTATGTAGTAGCAATTATACTTTTTCAAAAGTGAATATATGCTCATCAACTAAACACACAATACTGAGATGAAAGTATGTAGATGATTTTCTTACCACTCAAACCCTTTGGTTCTCTGAGGAGGAGAACCATCATCAAGGCCTCTGAATATACCAAGCACAGGCTTCATTGGGGGAGAGTAAGAAGAAGGTACTTTTGCCATTCAAGCTTAGTTCTAAATATGGACAGGTTAGGCATTTGCTTTTAAGGTATATTGTAGAAACACACTTAAACGACAGTATTTCTCCTACTGGTCTACCCAGTATGTACACATCCTTCTTGAGTAAAGGCAATGGCAGTCTGGCAATTTCCAAAAGAACTAGAAACTGACCTTCCATATGACCCAGTAATCCCCCTACAGGGAATATATGAGGAACTCAAAGCATTCTACCAAAAAGATTCCTGTACACACATGTTTATTGTAGCAAAAACATGGAACAAACCATGCTGCCCATTGAAACTGGATTGGATTTTTAAAATGTGGTACATATACACGATGGAATATTACACAGCCATAAAGGACAAACATATGACCTTCGCAGCAACTTGGATGAATTTAGAAACTATCATACTCAGTGATCTAACACAGAAACAAAAAACAGAGTACCACATATTCTTACCCATAAGTGTACCCTGAATATTTACTATAATACTATAAGAAAGGGATTGGCAGTAGCAGGACACTGCCAGGGTTGGGGAGGAGGAACACAACATCAATAAGGGTAACTGATTTCAAACCAGGCAAAGTGGGGACCAAAGGGAGGCCCAAACTTTACCTGTACGATGTCTACTGGTATATCTAATCCTAATTGTACCCCACAGTTTTAAAATAAAATATATATTAAAAAAAGAATAAATAAAAATTTAAAATACAAAGTTTCATTTAGGCAGGTGTGGGGTTGCCATAGAACCAGTCCCCCAGATCCACCATACACACACACACACACACACACACACACACACACACACACACCATGCCCTGCCAACCCCTTGATCACCTTGCCTCATTTATGAATTCTGAGGCCCTCTGGAGAAGTTTTAAATACAAACTTTAATCAACTAAATATCCTGTTAAGTTTCTGTTTCTTGGACCCTATCCCCAGCATCTCTAATCTAATTTAAGTGTGAAGTGATTCTGACCCAGGTGATTGACACAACTTCCTAGAACTTTGTCCTAGGACTCTTCCAGTGCCATTTCAAATCTCAGAGACCACATATTGTGTCCACCAAGAGCACCTTTTAAAACGTACATATTAACTTTTAGCTTTAAGCAATCCATCAAATGCTCTTATCCTAAACAAAGACAATAAACCAAAAGGGAACAAATCTGAACCCCCTTCATGATGTTTCCTCTGTCTCCTCCTCCAGGATATGCCGTCCCTAATGCAACTGTACCTGTGTCTGCAGCCCAGCTCAAGCAAGCGGTCACCCTGGGACAAGACTTAGCAGCATACACAACCTATGAGGTGTACCCCACTTTTGCAGTGACTGCCCGAGGGGATGGATATGGAGCCTTCTGAAGATATCTTTTTTTATTATTATTTAAGACTAATACACAGAAAACTCTATAAAGAAGAAATAAACCTCTAACTCAGTCCCCTAATGATCATAAGTAGTATCTTTCCTAAAGCAATGCCTTTCCTGAGACTGTATAGCTTATACTAATTGTAGAATTGTGAAACAAGAACATTATCCCAACATGAAACTGAATGGTAGTGAAGGCATGGTGGCTTACTCCTGTAATCTCAGCATTTTGAAAGGCTATGGGGGAAGAATCACTTGAGCCCAAGAGTTTGAGACCAGCCTGGGCAGCATAGCAAGAACTTGTCTCAAACAACAACAAAAAAAGAAACTGAATGTTAATGAGGTTTTTGTTTAACAGAAAGCTGGAGAACCACTGGCCCCCAAGAGCTGTTCTTCCAATGTTTCGAGTATCCTGGGGGCAAATTTACAAACCCTGACAAGCTTGGAAGGAGCTCTTTTAACTGGTGAGAGCTGGGGCTGAGCCCACTTGGCAGTCAATAGCAACAAAGGAAAGCTTAGTCAATTCCAGAGTCTCACCACTGGCTCATAGCTGCTTTGTGATACACAATAAGAAGCAAAAGGAAGGTAGGTTGCTTTTCAGAACTCACTCACCATTGCCTGTTGTGCAGGACAACATAGCCGCAGGCCTGAGTTCCTAAAAGACTGCCCAAGATTTTGTGGATTCAGCCTCACTTCAGTCTGAAAATTCTATCCAGTCAATATGTCATAGATTCAGGATCTTCCTGTCCCCTGAAGTCCCTGGGGACTTTCTAGATAGATGTGTTGTGAATCTGGTTAAAAAAAAAAAAAAAAATCCAAGCCTCATTATGTATTCAACTCAATAGCCCACACCTAGATTTTCCAAGATGGCCTACTGTTCCCAATAAGCATACCAACATGAAATAACCTTTTCTTATGTTAAAATTTCTGACTTGACAATATTGATTTATTTCACCCAAGACTCATCTTGCTCACCTCTAAAATCACAAAAAAGTAAGTCAGATCTATAGAATATCATTGATGATGTTTCTTCCTATTCAGCAAATTGACTGAAAAGTAATTTAAAAGAGAGAAGTGAAGATCTGCATTCATTTCTTTGATCCCTACTGTAGCATCCAGACCACCATTCAGCATTTAGAGACTGTTATATTAACTTAGGCTTAGCCTTGAATTATCTAGCCTACTTCTATTAAATCTACCAATAAATCTTCCCTTCCTTTATCTTTCAACAAGTATCAGCCAGGCGTGGTGACTCATGCCTGTAATGCCAGCATTTTGGGAGGCAGAGGCGAGGGGATTACCTGAGCTCAGGAGTCCAAGACCAGCCTGAGCAACATGGTGAGACCTTGTCTCTATAATAATTCAAAAAATCAGCCAGGCATGGTGGTGCATGCCTGTGGTTCCAGCTACTTGAAAAGCTGAGGAGGAAGGATTGCCTGAGCCCAGCAGGTCAAGGCTGCAGTGGCTGTGAGAGTGCCATTGCACTCCAGCCTGGGCAACAGAGTGAGACTCTGACTCAAAAAATAAAAAAAAAGTATCAAGCAGCTTTGCCATGCCTGAGTCCTTTTGTCTTAAGGCTGTCACAAGAAAACCTTACATCCATCACTGCCAATTAGAAACTGTTTTTTCAGATAATCAGCAAGGGTATTATTCACCAAAGTCCTAAACTCTTGGGCTCTTCTCCAGGAATATCTGATATGGGGTAAGTGTGGGCAGGTGGGCTACAAGATCTCAGAATAGAGATGAAGAGAAGGCACTACTTTCTTGCAAAATTTGTAAATAATTGCTTTGTTCAAAACAGAAGGAATCAAAGTCCAGCACAAAATTCCTACTGCAGCTATTGCAGTCTCATTAGCAGTCCAAGACCTACAGTACTAGAATTTCCATTTTAAAAAATCTCTTGGCTCTTATAAAATTCTACAGAACTCAAGGGAAAACATAAACACAAAGGCATGGAAAATTTTGTCAACTCTTTAATGGAATTTTGTGATCTGAGATCAGGCCAGATTTCCAATCAAAAATCAGGTAAATTTCAATCACAAAAGTCCTTGTAACCTCTCAGTTCTATTAACTTCAAACATATATCAAAGGCTTCAAAGCTACACCTGAAACTTTGAAAGGCCCTGTGCTTTCTGATTTATGTTTATCTTCTCATATTCCCTAGAACAGTAGCTCCCAAACTTGGCTGCACATTAGAAACACCTGGAGAGTTTCTAAAACTGCTAATGCCAACATCACACCTCATATCACTTACATCAGTGTCTTGGAGTGGGAGCCTGGCATCAGTATTTTTTAATGATCCCTGGGTGATTTCAATGTACAGTAAGTTTGAGAATTGCTATGTCTTGTATTTCCACTATATCCCTTAATTTTTTTCCTTTTTATTTCACTTTTACCAAAGAGAAAAATGAAAAAAAAAAAAAAAGGCTAAGTTAAAACAAATAGCCAAGTCATATTTTTACACCTATTCATCTCACAGTTTGAATTTGAATATAATTCATGTAGACTTCAAACTAACTAAAAATGAAAAAATAGAAACAATTTTTTCCCTAAAGAAATTCTTAGATTCACATTTATATTTTCCTACAGACATGCTTTTATTCTCAAAAAGAGTAATTATATTGACATAAAAAAATGTTCATTGGAGCAGGCCTAATTTCTACTCAGCCTAAAAAAAGCATTCCTAATTCCAAGAACAAGTTTTTCTTTTTCTTAAAATTTTTGCAAATAAATAGCAAAGGGCATTCTACATGTCTAATTAATGAAATAAAGATTTGATTCAAAGTTTTACGTTAAATCAAAAGAAAACTAGCTAGTAATACAGGAATCTCCTTATGAGAAAAATAATTATTCTGGATAAGGTCATAAACATCTTTTAAAAGTTTAACAGCAATAAACTAAACATACAATAATACCCAAGTGTCAAGAAAATTACCACTGGAACACCATCTCATTACTTTTGAGAAAGAACACAAGTATTCATGTCATCTACCTCCTTAGAATTAGTTTTATACAAGTAGGTAGTTATTTTGTTTTTTGCTGAAATTTTACTTTATTTTAGTAATATCTAGAGAATATTTTGAATTCCATTAGAATATTTTTATAGAACGTGCCAGCGTGTCCACCATGCCATATGTTTGTTCTTATCTTCCCCAAGTTAAGGAATTTAGAGTAAGTCCTACCATCATGACTTTAAAATTGTTTTTAAAACTGGCTTTTGAAAACTAAGTGTGAACCAAAAGTTAATTTTGCATAATGTTTCTATTTTTATCACCTATTTAACACCTTCATTGCTATTCACTTTTTCTGTAATTTCTTCCTTGACTGCTTCCTAATTCGTCATAGAAAAAATTAAAAATTAGTCAACCAGGTGATAATAACAAAATAAAAGAAACATGAAGTAGTTAGAATTGGGTCTGTAAACTTTGGTAATCAATAGCTTACTAATAATTGAAATAAGCCTAATGTTACTTAGGAGGAAAAGGAACAGCAATGAGATTGGGTATCTCTTTTCACCTATAGAAACGCTGCCTCTTCTCAGTTTGCTTTACATCTCTGTTACCCCATTAGCATAGCTAGAAGAACACCTTCAAATGCAACAAAATATAATTCTCCCAGATGACTAGGACACCTCCCAATCCAGTACCATGCCAAACCACACTGTGTTTGAGTAACAGCACCCAAAATGCTGCTAAAAAGCTACCTCATATTAAGAAAATAGTGACTTCAAAAAATATTAACCAAAGAAGAACTATTTCCAAACCATAGTTCCTCAACTTTTTCAAGATGGAATGGAAATTAAATTATAGCTATGTATTAATAATAGCTTATGCAAGAAATGATTGTTTTACTTAAAAGGTTTTTTTAGAAAAATATTCTTCCAATTGCATAGATTAGCAAAATATTGAATCAATATACTTTTCAATTTATATTAACTTTCAGTATATTTCAAATGACTATTGTATAATTCTGTCAAGGACAACTGGGCCACAATTAGAATCCATGTAGACAGAGAGATTCTTCAGGGTGTCACTTGTAGAATAAAGACCAATAAAGAAAGTTAATATTTTGGGTATATTTTCTTTGTACTCAGAGCTACAAAGTTTGATAAAGTTTATTATTGTTGAACAACTCCAGTCCTTGGCCAAGATTTCCTAAATGTAACTTAAAACAAAAAGTAAACATAGTGTGTAACATTTACACAAGGCCACAATCATTTATCCTCTCCTTCCATTTATATAAAAGTTCCCAGGAGGGTGAGAACATATCTCAAAAATTAACCTAGAGGTTTGGCTTTTTTTTATATTTTGTAGATACACTTGCATATATTGTAAATACATCTGAAAATAAAACAAAGCTTCAAATATGACACTATAAGGAAAGTTTTGATAAATATATATATTAAAGAGAAAATATTAATAGCATAACTTAAGAATTTTTATATACTTATTGGAAGACAGAGAGAAATTATGCAGTAAATATTCCTAACTGACATGTAACCATTGTCAATTGTATTTTGTTAAATGATTGTCAAATTTGATTTTGTAATTTTACTTTATTCTACTAACATCTTGAAAATCCTCTTTTACTATAGTGTATTCATGGAAATTGTAATGTATCTAATAGGCTGCATGTTTGTATTTGCTAACATTAGAAAAGCAATGCAAGTTGTGCTATAATGAGTGAAACTCTTAGGAAAATGAGCTTTTTCTGACACCCCCCCATCTCTTTTCTTAAGAAGTAAAACATTTAAAACATTGTTATTAGGTGAAAAATGGGTACAAAATATTCTATTGCCCTCAAAATGCCCATTTAAAAGCCATGTTTTCTGACAATGTTTATACAGAAAGCAGAATGCATTGGTTTAGTAATGGATAACATGTATATCTTGAACACATAGGCTCGTTTACGGGAAACTGCAAACTTTATGTGTCCTCAATTCTCCTTGGTTTCATAGGAAAACTCAAAAGAAAACCTTACGTTCTTGCTAATAATGACAAGAAATTTTTAGCTAATCTAGAAGGGGAAAAATAACTTGGAAACCAAAAGCCCTCATTCATTCAAAAGTGCCTGGAA